CGGCTTCTCTCGCTGGCGGTGCTGCCATTGTGCGTGCATCCTTCATGTCTGCTCTTTGTCTGCGCCGCCCTCCTCTACGAGGGCGGCCTGGCTGGGGGGGTCGGGGGAGGGCGCCGCCCCCCAGGCCGGCGGGGCGCCGGGCAACCGCTGGAGGGGCGCTCGCGAGCGATGAATCCCGGGTGGGGGAATCTGGGCGCCGGGGAAATTCGCTCCGACCTCGGCTGGCAAGCCAATCGATGCGCGCCATTCGGGGTCCAGGGTGCACGAGCTGCGAACGCAGCTGCCCCCCATGCAGCGCGGGTCGCCCCCCTGGGCCAGCGCGGCGCCTACCCTCGCGAGAAGCGGGGCGCGGTCGGCGTCGGGGCGAGGGCGCAGCGAGCCGTTCCGAGGTGCAGCGCACTGGCGCAGGCGCCGCGCGATCGCTTGGAACGCGCGGCCGCGATCCGGCCTCGTGGCCTAGAGGTCCCGTGCGGCATCTTGTTAGGAGGAGATAGTCATTAGGGTGCTCCGTGGGGCCGATCTGTTCTGGGCCGAGCTTGTCTGGCCCCGACGGGCAGCTCGCGTGGCCCGTGCCTCGAACTGATCCAGATTGGTAAAGAATGTGGCAGCGCAGGATGCGTGGCCCTGGCGCGAGTCGAGCCCGAGGTGCTCATCGGCCCGCCCGGCGCGAACATCTCCGCCATTGCATTGGTGTCTTGCATCCGCCAGTCGAGGTCTGAGGGGCCGTCGGCTCTGCGAGCGCGCCCCACAGCGAGTCGACCTGATTGCCAGCTCATTGCCCGACCAGGAGCTTGTCCTGGTGCGGGGCGAGGCCCGTGTGCGGCAAACGGAACGCGCGGCGCGCCCGGAGTCGGCGCGTGGCCATGGCACGATGGCTGAGAGGTCACTGGCCCCCATGGCGCTCTTTGATGCATGCCGGGCGGACGTGCCCGGTGACGCCGGGGACGTGCACCCGATGCCTCCGACGCGTTGTAGCCTCGGGATCCATGGGCCCCCCCCGTTAGCCTTGCGGTTTCAGAGCGAGCGCCAACGGCAGGATAAAACGCGTTGCAGTCATTTTGGGAAGCATAACTCGTCTTGATGATGAATTTGCGGGGGGCGCCCTTCTCGTCAGGGTCGATGTCCTTGGCCGAGGATCCCGCGCCGCAGAGTCGGGGCATGTAGTGTGCCCTGTAGGCGCTCTGCACATCATCCTCCGCGCGCCCATGTCCCGCGCCCAGTGTTTGATGCGGGCGGGGGACCTGGTGCCCAGGCGTGGGTGGGGGAGTCCAGTCCCCGCCCTGTCCGTCGCTGAAGTTCTGGTTGGCTCCGTCGTCCACGACGTTTTCATCGCCATTTTAGGTCTTCTGCCAGTGCCGCAGCTGCTCCTCGCGGAGAGTTGGGGCCGCGGGCGCGGAGTCGTTTTCGTGCCCTGGCGCGCGATGTTCGTGATACTGTGTCTGCTGACTTGTCGAACCAAATACTTTCTGATGATTAAGGTGGATCTGTCTGCTGACTGGTTAAGGCAAATAGAGGCTGATGATCAGGTTGATATTTTTGCTGACTTGTCAAACTAAACAGAAACTGATGGTCGAGCTGATATGTTTGCTGGCAGTTTAAACCAAATGCTATTAGATGATTGAGCTGAACAGCCCTGAAGAGGGCGCCTCTGGGTCCACGTGCTGGTACCCGTCGATGTTCTGAACCTCGTCGATGTTCTGACCCTCGTACGTGTTCTGAACCTCGTGTCTGTGCTGAACCTCTTAGGTGTTCTGAGCCGCGTATGTGTACTGAACCTCGTATATCTTCTGAACCTCGTATGTGTTCTGGACCTCGTATGTGTTCTGAACCTCGTATGTGTTCTGAACCTCGTCTGTGTGCTGAACCTCGATGAAGCGGTGTTCTGAACCGCGTATGTGTTTTGAACATTGTATATCTTCTGAACCTCGTATGTGTTCTGAACCTCGTATGTGTTCTGAACCTCGTATGTGTTCTGAAAGTCGTCTGTGTGCTGAACCTCGATGAAGCGGGCCTGCGCTCCTAGGTCCTTCTGAACGTACTTGTAGTTCAGGGGCGCGCTGCTCTGCAACGCGAAGATCTCGATCTTTGTCGAGTCGCTGTTGATCGTCACGATCTCTTCGAACCTCTCGGTTTCGTATATCGCGCCAGCGATGTCTTGCCTGTGGCGCGGCGCGCGCGCGGGGGCTGGGCGCTCTGCTACCAGAGCAGAGATCTTTATTATCCTTGAGCAGGTGGTGCCGGATCATGCTGCATCTCTGTCTCTGACCCTACTCACACTAAACCTGAATCTTCGCTCTCTCCCCGGGGCAATGGCTAGGCTTTGCCTCCGTTCAGCTCAGCCCCCAGGCCACCTGGCTGGTTGGCTGGCCGACCCCCGCTCCGATGATCCTCTTTCAGTCTTCGATCTTCCTTATCCTGTGACTTCGCAGAATCTCCCTGTTCTCCTCCGCCACATCGGCCCCGCCCCCCGCGTCGTCTTCGACCGCTTTGAGGGGGTCCAGACGCCCAGGGGGCCGCTCCAGATTTTTAGGTGTTTGACCCGGGATGGTGGGCCAACGAAAGTGGGAAGATGCTATTTCTGAGTGCGTGCTTCGTGTCTCGCTTAATCGCGTGCTCCGCGTGTGTCGGGGGCGGCGCTTCATCGGGGCCGCGAAACTCGTATATTTGCGCGCGACCGCCTCCCCGCTGTTTATCATGTCGTCTCGGAAGACGCCAGTCTGGGCCAGTGCGCGCCCTGTTGTCTGGGCCAGTGCTCGCTGGCGTGTCAGCGCGAAGCCCAAGTGCTTGAGCGGCGCGCTGATGGGTCTGAGCGAGTTGCGCGAGCTGCGGTGCGACGGGGGCCACGCGCGCGAGGGCGCCGCTGTGGAAGTTGGCCCGCTGCAGAGCCTCCGCGATGCGATGTGCCAGAAGCTTGCCGCGCAGATCGCGGGCGCGCTCGAATGCTTGCGCCAAGGCGGCCAGGGCGGCGCCGGCCGGGGGCGCCCGCTTGAGGCCGGCCGCGGCGTCGCGGCCTGGGGCGAGCGGGGCGCCGGGCGCCCCGCCGTCGTGTTCCAGGACCTAGATGTGGTCCGAGGCAGAAGCCTGCGGCTGGACGGCCGCCATCGTGCTTTCTACCTGCTCGTCGACAAGTGCGCGGTGATGGCAGGGGGCCTGGGCGGTGGTTGGAGCGCCGCGCTCGCCATGCACCGCCGAGCGGATGCGTTGGTGGAGGGTGGCGTTGGGTGGCCGACCGGGCGGAGGCGGGCGCGATGACCGAGGTCTTGAGCAACTGTGTCCTAGGGGCGCCATCGCAGTTCCGCATGCCGCCCGAGCGGGCGCGCGAGCTGGCGCAGCCGCTGGAGGCGACGGCGGCTAGACCGGCGCTGCGCGGCGAGGACCTCGGGCCGTTGATCGGCGTCTGGATCTGGGGGGCTCTGCTCAGGAGAAAAGTGCCGTGCGCCCCTGGAGTCTTCAGGCTTCTAGAGCGGCGTCCCGAGCAGATGGTCCATCCCTGGGTTGAGGTTCGACGAGAAAGGCGCGCGATGGCCAGGGTTCTGCCGCCAATGCGCGCCGACATGGGAGCCGAGCCAGCCTGGGTCAACCTCGCGGTGGGCCCGATCTGTGCCTTGCTGCCGACGACGGCAGATGGGGCATCCGCGGGGGGCTTGAGATGCGCCGTCGCGAGGCTGGGCGGCAAGCTGAGCGGCGTGAGGCGCCCGGCCAGATGATCGACGGGGCGAAGCTCTTCGGCCTCCTCTCGGACCGAGTGTCCAGGCCCGACCGCCGGTCTCTGGGTAACATAGGTCATGGTTTACTACAGCGAGAAACGAATGTATCAAAATGCGCCGTCTAGTCAAAACAAGAAAACGAGTATCTAGTAAACGCAAAAGCCGGTTTGCTAAACTCAAGCACGGATTTTCTAAATTTGGGGTCTTTTTTTCTAAATCCCAGATCCACTTATTTCCACGGCCTGAGTGGCTCGATCAGCCAGTGGACAGCGGCGGGGCAGGGCAGGTGGATGGCCCTGACAGCGATTGCGCCAACCCTGCCCTGGGCCGCCCTGCCGATCCGCGAGGACAGCGAGAGGGTTTCCGGCGCCGTGAACACAGGCAGGTCGCCCGCTCACTATCCCAATCATCTGCTGATTCAGGGCGCGGGGGCGACGTTGATATCGCGCGCGTTAGGATGCTGTTCCCATGGATGGAGACGAACGGCAGTCAGCTGATTTGATGTCGAGGTGCCTGGAATGCAAGGGCCCCCGCGCGCTGGCCCGTGTCAGGGCCGTGGAAGGTTGGCGAATTCATTGTTGTTGAAGGAGAGCTACGGGGCGGCGGCGGCAGTGAAGTTTGTCGAGTGCCTGAACAAGAACGGCTTCGTTCACGACAGCACCGAGGAGTGAGGTGACCTGCTCGTCGAACACAAGGGCGCCGAGGGGGATCGCGAAGTGCAGCTTCGGGTGCGCCGCGGCGGCCTTGGACTTCGCGCCCCCCTGCCTGGGGCGCTGGCTGGTCTGCCCCCGCTCAGCGATCGAGGCCTGTCGCATCTCCTGGGAGGTGCAGCGGGCGCCTCAGCTGGGCAAGTCGCCCACGAATGTCGTGGCTATCTACTTTGCGCGTGCCGGTGCGCCGCGTCTTGGAGTGGGGGTCCTGCCTCAGGTGGACAGGGCTTTGGCCGTCGAAGATGCTGCAGCTCCGAGAAAAGGGCATCATATGATTGTCATCGTCGAGGGGTGACCCGATCTCCAGGAAAGCTGGGTCATCAACCTGGGGTTGAAAGTTGGGGCAACAGCTGAGGGAGTGCAATGTGCGCTACTGCGTAACTAAGCGGAGACTGAAACAGCTACCATATCGGGTTGTCTTGGGAAAACCCTCCGATGTCAGGCTTTTCTCCTATTCGTTGGTCGGATATCGCCGAAGGCTCAAGCGTGTGGAAGAGAAACTGTAGCTTGTCATCCACTGGACTCGCACTGGGCGTGCGCCGGTTTCGTCAGTAATTTCGCACCTTGTGGCATCCCCTTCCAGGAGATCAAGGAGCAGGGCCGGTGGATCAGAGCCCAGCGTCCGAATCTACGCGGCGTTCTCACCGCCCGAAGAGTCCATGGCCAGCGTGGGCAGCGTGGAGTCGCGCAGCAGGTCCGCGAGGCGGCCCAGAAGCTGGCCCTCTACTTCCTGGAGGGAGGCTTCGGCGAGCGGCAGCGAACGCGCCGCCCGCGGGCCTGGGGGGGGGCGGCGTGCGCGGCGCCCGCGAGGAGGTCCAGGAGGTGCGTCCGTTGGCGAGGGCCCGAGCGCCGAGGAGAGTGGCGTCGCCAGCATCAGCGCCGCGGCCGCCGACGCAGGCGCTGGCAGCGCGACCGCAGCAGCTAGGTCCGGAGCTGGCCGCGGCTGTGAAAGGTGCCGGCGGACCCTGGGCCCCCAGTACCGCCGCCAGCCCAGAGGAGGCTTCGGCGGCGGCTGGGGCGCCGGGACGTGGCCGCGGGCGCGGCGGTGAAAGCGCAGCCGCTGTGGCCCCTGGTGGCAGCGCCCGCGGCGTGGCTGCCGCGCGGCGCCTGCGTTCGCCGAGGACTCCGCCATCCGCTCGCTGTCGCGCGCTGTTTTTGGCGGGGGGCGCGCGACCTGGGGTGCTTATCGACGCCTGCTTCCTCGGGGCGCCGTTTGGCCGCTTCGGGGCCACCGTCGGCGAGGTCGCGGAGGTGTCGGTCTCGTCTGGCAACGTCTTGAATGGAGGTTTGTCGGCGGTGGCTACCGCCGCGCGGGGGGGTCCGACGTCGCTTCGAAGTCTTCCCAGCGCTCGGCGAGCCTGCTCGACGAGGTCTGGCTCGGCGTTGGCCTCGCCAACCTGCTGGTGGGCCAGTGGCGCGCGGGCGGAGCGCAGACGACCCAGAGGCGTTGCCGGAGTGGTTCGAGATGGAGTTCCGGAGTTCCTGGAACGCGCAGCCCCCCCAAGAACGCGGGAGAGCAGGGCAGTCGTCGAGATGGCATCTGTTTCGATCCCCCATGCGCAAGAGAGCTGGCAGCACCTAGCATTGCCTGGCGGATGCCGCGAGTTTCTCGTCGCGCTTGGCCCTCTGTCTTCCGGCTTCTACGGCGTGCGCGCGGTGGATTGCGTGGTGGCGTTCGCGGCCCCGTGGGCCAACCCAATCTGGGAGGTGCTAGAGGTGGGCGCCCAGTGTCAGCGGGGGGCGATACTGCAGCAGCTCGATCAGATGTTGGCCTCGCTCCTCCCTCCATACTGTGTTAGATTTGCTGATTATCCCAGTGCGACCCTGCCTCGGAGTTGGAGCATCTAGGAAAGCAACATCTACATCTACACCGACAGCTACATTAACATAGCTTTTGCTATGTTGCGCTATGCTATGCTATGATTTGCTATGTTGCGCTATGCTATGCTATGCTATGCTATACTACACTATGCTGCGCTATGCGGCGCTATACTGCGCTATGCTATGCTATGCTATGCTAGGTATGATAGGCTGCGCTATGTTATGTTAGGCTGTGCTATGCTATGCTAAGCTATGCCGCGCTATGCTATGCTATGATATGCTGTGCTGTGCTCTGCAATGGTATGCTATGCGATGGTATGCTATGCTTCGCTATGCTATGCTATGATTTGCTATGCTATGCCATGCAATGCTGCGCTATATTATGCTATGCTATGCTTTGCTATGCTATGCTATGATGCGCTATGCTATGCTATGCTATGATATGCTGCGTTATGCCATGCTGTGCTATGCTGCGCTATGCTCTTCTATTCTATGATATGCTATGCTGCGCTGTGCTTTGCTAAGCTAAGCTATGCCGTTCTATGCTATGCTATGTTGCGCTCTGCTATGGTATGCTATGATATGCTCTGCTATGGTATGCTGCGCTATGCTATGCTGCGCTGTGCTATGCTACGCTTTGCTTTGCTATGCTATGCTATGCTCTGCTATGTTAATGTTGCGCTGCGCTAAGCAAGGCTGAACTGAGCTAAGCTAAGCTAAACTAAGTAAAGCTAGGCTAGACTCAGCTAAGCTAAGCTAAACTAGGCTAGGCGAGATTCAGCTAATCTAAAGCTAGGCTAAGCTAAGCTAAGTTAAACTAGGCTACGCTAAATTGAGATAAGCAAAGCCATGCTAAGGGGACGTAACTGGGGGAACCGCGGGGCGGATGCCGGGGGAACCGCCCGGGGCGCTTTGCACTGCCCGGCCCTTTAAGCACACAGGGTCACTGGGTAGGGAAAAAGGTCGCGCGGGTATTGCGCATTGATGAGGATTTCGCTTGTCAGACCAATTCTTACATAACGTAAAACGATATATTTTGAGCACGCAGCAGGGGCAGGAAAACACGTTCGCCGGTTTCATATGTTATTGAAACGAAGCAAGTAGTTGCACGTCTGGCCCTCTCTTGAAACATGATGCACTTCCCTTGGTCGGGGGTACCAGACCCTGTCACCATCATGGGATTTTGACAGAGAAATGAGTTTTGATGTGCTGTGTGCATGCGTGTGTGTGTGTGGGGAGTTCGAAGACGAGCAAAACAATTCGCAATATTCTTGGCTCCACTTGCACTGCTATGCTTTTCAAGTTCACGATCATGATGCAATGGTGGTGGTGATGCTGGTGATGATGATGAAGCTGGCCCTGGTTATTGCTGTATTGATGATGATGACGGTGGTCTCGGCGGTGGTGATGATGGCGATGACGTTGATTGTGGTGCCGTTAACGATGATGATGGTGATATGCTGATGGCGATGATTGATGGTGTTGTTCTTGTTGTTGATGAGGATGACAATGATGATGGGAATGATGCTGATGATGCTGATGATGGCGGTTGCTTGAACAGTAATTACTGTTTTTCTTCGTTGTCCTGATAAAACCCCGCCCCTGGCTTTCTGTCAGGAGGAGAGCTGCCACACCCCGTCCACCTGGCGCAGGAGCGCGCGCGGCCGGGCCGAAAAGACGAGGTGGCTAAAGGCGCCGGGGTCCTGTGACGTGCCTTGCCGGCCCACGCGCTTGCTCCCGCGGCTGCCGCCGTCGTCGCTGTCGTCGTCGTCTTCTTCATCGTCGTCGTCGTTGTCGTCGTCGTGGGTCGTGGGTCGTGTGTCGTCGGTCGTGGGTCTTGTGTCGTCGGTCGTCGGTCGGTCGTCGGTCGGTCGTCGGTCGGTCGTCGGTCGTCGCCGTCGCCGCTGCGTCGGGGAACCTTCCGCGGGCGCTTCATCCTACCGCCAAGGGCATTCTCTTGAGGCCCGAGGCGTGGTCCAGTGGCTCGGGCGCCATTCGGCAGGGTTGGCGCGTGGTGCGCCCGTCCTCTCGGATGGAAGATGCAGAGTGGCATGTCCAAGCGTCTGAATCGAGTCCCTGCCGCGCAAGTCGACATGGGTTCCATGGCGGCATCCAGCAGACCCCAAGAGCTTTCTAGTGGTGTCACAGTCCCCCAAGACCTCGAGGGAACTTTTAGCAGCGTGGTCCCTAAGGCTTCGAGGTGCCGGGGCGAGTGTGTTGGGGGGGGGAGAGAGGGCGGGAGGGAGGGCAGGAAGAGCGACAGGGAGGGCATGGAGGTCGGGCAGGGGGATGGAGGGAGGGGGGGGATGGGGAGCAGTGGGAAGGCGGGGGAGAGAAGGGGAAAGCCGATCTCGGTCGGCATGCACATGCATGTTCGGAGTTCCGTGGCGGACCCTCGAAGGTTTGTGTTCGTGCCCTTCTCTGCTCCTCTGGAGACGAACGGGTGAGAGAGGAGTGGGGTCGGTGAAGAAACACAATCATAATCATGAAGTTTCGGCGGTCCGCGCAGATTTCTTGGATCGGCGTGGGGCCCCCGTGGTGCGCTTCCGGCGCCGCCCCTGGCGCGTTCCGCGCGCTATGGAAAAGGGTCCAGCGCCGATCCAAGAGATCCGCGCGGAGTTCCGAAAGGTTATGTTTCTGCTGTTCTGTTGTTCCGCTATGAGGAGATGCAGACGAAGTGAGGGGATCGGGAGGATCGGTACGATCGGTATGGGTACGGCAACGCGACATGCCCGTTTCAATCAGAACTTGCTCTCGGGTGCCGCCGCGGACGTTGCCCATTTGAGGCAAAAGTCGCCTGCCCAGCAGCGGCCGCTGTCGGGTGTGGACACCATTCGAGCGACGCTGAAACATGGGTTCGCCGACGCGGATTTTTGCGCGTGAGCTGTCCGCGTAAGGCAGCGCGTGAGTGCTCTCGTCTTGTATGTAGCGTGCCGTGCTCGCGGCCCGCGTAAGCCGCCACGCAAGGGCGCCGTGCCATCGTTCGTAAGACCCGATTCCTTTTGTCGCTCATTTGTTGCTGGGTATCGGGCGTGCCAGGAGGAGCGCTGGTGGGAGGCTGGCTGCCTGCCCGCACAGCGCCGATTGCGGCCACCGTGTGGCCTGCGCCCGCGGCTGGACTCCGCCCGTGCCGCCAGGATTTCGGCGACCGCTGGCACATGGAGGAACCGCGGCGAGGGAGGAGGGCGGGGGAGGAGGAGGAGGAGGAGGAGGAGGAGGAGGAGGAGGAGGAGGAGCAGGAGGAGGAGGAGGAGGAGGAGGAGGGAGGAGGACGAGGAGGGAGGAGGAGGAGGAGGAGGAGGAGGAGGAGGAGGAGGAGGAGGAGGAGGAGGAGGAGGAGGAGGAAACATACACATACGATTAATAATAGTAACCAGGCGAGGGGCGAGCAGTTGCTTCCTGGCTTGCTGGCGGTTTGGGGCGGGCGGGCGCCGCTTTTTTGGCTTGCCAGGGTTCGCAGCATGATCCCGGTTGACCCAGGTCAGCTCTTCCCCGACAACGCGGGTGTGTAGCTCCCCCAACTTCCGACGTCTGGAGTTTCTCAATGCGCCCCCCCCCTTCCGGAAAGCCAGACGCTTCTCTCTTCTCTTGGGGGCGGCTTTTCGTCCTGAGTCGTTTTCTTGCAGTCCTGGGACCCAGTGAGGGCCTCTAGAGTTAGGTCGGGCATGTCCTCCTACAGGCGGATTTTGGAAGAAAAAGAAAGAACAGTCAGATAATAGTCAAAGATGGTCGAAAGAACACGAGACATCGTAACGATGCTACTTTTTTATCATTCTTAGATGCTCCTCCTACAGAGGGACACGCCCGACTTAACTCGAGAGGCCGACAACGAAAAACGGCCACCGTCTCGAGATCACCTCGAGACGTCAGAGGTCTGGGGCCGCCCACCCGCTCGCAGGCGCGAGGTGGCGGGCGGGGGCCCGCTGCCCCGGCGGCGTCGCCGCCGATGCCCCCCCCCCGACGGCCAGCGGCGGAGGGCGCCAACGATGCAATCACACCGATCCCGGCCAGGGCCCATCCTGGGCCCAGGACGGGCCTGGCCAGGATGGGCGCTGGTGTGCAGCTGATGCCCGCCGAACGGCGGAGGACTGGCACAGCTTTGGGCTCAGCTACGCGGAGACGCTGCGCCAGTGGTGGCGGAACATGCGGGACTTCGAGGCGCCGCCTGGTGATCCTTTTCTTATTCATTGTTTTGCCGATCGGCAGAGGCCCTCGCACCCCCTCCCTCCCTGTGGAGTAGATCTTGGCTGTTTTTGGGGCATGTTTCAAGCAGGTAGAGTCTCCCCCATGGGACGTACTGTTGCAAACAGTCCCTTTAAGCAGAGGTCCGGAGCCAGACCCCCCCTCTTCCGCCCAATGTCGAAACGCGTGTCTGGGGGCGTCGGGGCGCATGTTGATCGGCGACTACAAGGGGTTGAGCTATGCAGGGGTGGGGTTTGCGATCTGCGTCGGCTGGGGCTGGGGGCAGGGGCACCGCGCTGCCCTCGTTGGGCCGCCTCGTGGCGCGGCGGCGAGCTCTGTCGACGCCCTCGCCCGCCCTCCAGGGTGCCGGTTGCAAACCACACCCTATGCAAATCACACCCTTCGGAGTCGCCGAGTGAGTCACGTGCGCCCGTGGCCCAGAATCACGCCTTTCAATTTCGCGATTCGGAATTGCTGACATTGCTTGCTTGGTGATCGGATGTCCTGGAACAGGTTTCTGTACTGCCGATCTCACAGAACTACGGTCACTCGTGGAACCAGAATGCTGACGTGTTTTGCTGCGGTCGGCGCAGAGCCAACGCTGTTGAAACCAGGATGCAGTGCATTTGCGGCGATCGTGGAGTGCTAGCATTTGCGCCTCCTCCTCCTTCCCTCCCTCTTCCTCCTCCTCCTCCTCGTCTTCCCCCTGGCCCGCAAGATGTGGATTAGAGAGCAGGCGTGCCGCCTTCTCCCACGAAGCGGTGAGAATAGCTGGCAGTGTACTCCTTCGCCCACGCGCTCCGTCGTATGGCTTGTCTGTCTGTCTCATCACTGGCACCACGCGCCTTTACCACCCTTTCCGACCTCCAAAGTTCACCAGAGAAGAAAGAACCACCACCACCACCAGCTAGGGGGGGCTGGCCGCTCCCCCTCCCCGAGCTGGTGGCACCCCGTTCTCGGCGCGCCCCCAGAGAGTGCCTGGAGCTAAGTGCCACCAGCTCGGGGAGGGGGAGCGGCCAGCCCCCCTAGCTGGGAGCGGAGTTATGTTGAGTTTGGTTGGTAGTCGGTTTTTTCCTCTCATGAAATGCGACGGGGCTCAGCCCGAACAGGGGTTCGGGGGGTTCATCGGACAGGGGTGGGAGGAGGATGAATCCGTTCCAGAGCGTTCCCGAACGCTCTCAGAGCGTTCCTGAAAGCTCTGAGAGGGCCGCGGCGCCCGAGACATCCTCCAGAGCCGCCGGATCTCAGACATTCTCGATCTATCCCCACCCGATTTTATTCTCGTCCTGGCTTCGTCCTAGATCAGGCAACCACCTCCGATCCCCTCCGGCTGACCCGGGTTTGAGCGCCGCGTGGAGCCGATGCCCCGTCTCCGTCCTGCACCTAGCCAAGGTCGGGGCCCCCGGCCGGCCCAGGTCCGCGACGTGGCCCCGGGCCCTGGTTGACCCGGGTTAGTCTAGGCCTCCCAGATGAGCGACGGAAGAAAACGAACTCGTCTGCGCCGACATTCGCGCGTAAGCTGCCCGCGTAAGGTCGCGCGTGAGCGCCCTAGTCTGCAATGTGGCGTGCCGCGCCGGCGGCCCGCGTAAGCCGCCGCGTAAGGTCGCTGTGCCATCTCACGTGAGACCCTTTTTTATCGTCGCCCAGATGGGGTCCGAGTAGAGGGGGTCGGAGGTTCTTGCCGCATCGCAGATGCTTTGGTGATGCGCCTCGATGTGGAGCCCGACTTTCTCCGCGCTGACGTCGCCGATTAATCGCGAATGTATCGGCGATGCGGTGCGGTGATAAACCGCGAATGCATCGCAGATGCTTCGGTGGTGCTGCCGTCTTGGTGCTGTCGTTGGCCGTCTTTGGCCACTCTCGGCCGTCCGGGAAGACTCTTGGGTGCGTGTGGGAGCTCTCTTGGGCCATTTTTGGCCGCTCTTGGGCCGTCTTGGGTCGTTCCTGAGCCCTCCAGGGGCTCTCTTTGTGCTGCCCTGGGCTGCTTGGGGCCTCGTGAGGACCTCATCGGGCGCTGTGGGCATCTCTTTGACCCCTCCGAGGCCCTTCCGGAACCCTTCGAGCGACGACGAAAAGCGGGGTCGACTGCGTGGGCATTCGCGCGTCAGTTTCCTTTTAAGGCCGCGCGTGCGCGCCCTCGTCTCCGATGTAGCGTGCCGCGCTGGCGGCCCGCGTAAGCCACCGAGCAAGGTCGCTATGCCGTTTTGCGTAAGGCCCGTGTCTTTTCGTGGCTCATCTGTAGCTGAGGGGCCCGTGAAACCAGACAGGAACAGATTGAAGCGCAATACGGGATTCCACGTGTTTTGAATGGTTTGGGCCTCCCTGGGGGGCCTCTTGGCCTTCTCTTTGGTGCCTTGGCCCCACTTTGGTGCCTTTTGAGGTCTCCTTCGAGGCTGTTGGGCGCTTCTTGAGGCAATGTTGCGTCATCTTGGCGACCTTGGTGGCCTTCTTGGGCCGTCTTGGAAGTCTTGGAGACTCCCAGGGAAGCTTCGGACCGCCCAGGGTTCCTCGGGGGGGGGCGGTGCACGCGCCACTGTGCTGAGAAGGGGCCCTCAGACTGTTCACGGAAGCCTTACTAGACAGCCCGTAGCAGTCTACCACGCCTCAACGTGCCAGGAGGCACGGTGGTGGGTTGCATCAATTTGGTCATTCCCACCACGATCCCCTCTCCGTGACACCCTCCTTGTCTTCCCCCTTTGCTCCTCGTCCGCTCGCTTCCCTATTTCCTTCTTTAATCCCTCTCTGCCTCTACTGTTCCTTGTCCTTCTCTCGAACGTGTGCGTCCCCGGATGCTTATTACATTTGGCACTGCTTGCCGTTCTTTGCTGCTATTATTGTATGGGCGGTGCTCATGTCTATATGTTGCAGCCCACGGTTGATCGCCACTTCGCAAATCTGTCTAATTTTTATGTTATGTGGCGTTGTGACCAGCGTCTTGTTTCTCCCCTCAAAGGGCTACTCCTTCGAAGAGTACCCGGAGCGTTTCAGAAGGCTTGGCGGATGCAGCTTGTGCGGGAGGCAGAGTGTGTTGAGGGGTGAACGCTACTGGTGGAAGAGTGGGTGGGTGGACGACATATTTGTAGGTGCTGCTGTTGCAATTGCTGCCGCCACAGCTGCTGCTGCAGAATGTGACGTCTCTTTAGGAGTTAAAGGAAAACGATGACGATGGTGCTTCCACCAACGAGGGCAACGACAGCTGTGGCGATGGCGCCGGCGATGGTGGCCATAGGGATCTCGATTCAATGTGAGGGAGCGATCATGATGACAAGAGGAAGGAGGTTGTGGAACAACTGCCACCCGTCCTTGTATTTTTTCCCATGTAGCCGCCAACGCCACGTATTTAATATGTAATTGTAATCTTACTCACACGCCGTGCCTGTGGCTGTCTGTGAGCGCCTCCGTTGCTGACAAGACATGCCCGTGCGAGAACAAAATATGCCGGTGCGAGCAGTGTGGTCTCTTCCCATCACTTTTCAGCTGGTGCGAAGCGTGAGCGAGGCTGCTGCGAGAAGTGACGAGCTGGCGCAAGATCTTGCCAGCGCAACCCTCAAACAATGACCTGCCTTGTATATAGCTTCTTTTACATATCGATTCGTTGCGCTTCGCGCGGCCCAGCTGGAAACAGAAGTTATTCATGTGTGGCAAAGGAGAAAATACATCGCACCCGCTGTTTCCAATTTAGGGCCGAAATGGGCCAACTTGGGCGTTTGCATAGTAACGCTCCACCGTCCTGGGCGCAATAGCTTGCACTAGGACGTTTTCTCTCGTGTAGTCTATCAGAACGAGAACCGCAACTCGGAACGCCAGGGTTATATGATGGCGCGCCGTGTCGTACCCATCCCGTCCCCAAATTAGTTCGACGGGCTGGCGTGCCTCGTATTGTTCACGCTTCGCGTACCCCCGCCAGCCCCCCTTGTCGCGGCCGCAGCCCGACCGTGACCGCCTGCCGCTGGCGCTTCCGCCTGCGGCTGTAAAAAAAAAGTATCCCAGCCAGCCCATCCACAAACAACACATATTGCGACGCACACCGACGGCCGTGACTTTCGGGCGTGTCTCTTCCTGCCCTCGCATATCTCCTCCTCTTCCGCCCACCTCCTACCGACTTTCTGTTATACATTCTTGGTGGGGCTGGGGAAAGCGGGACGAGGAGGAGGAGGAAGAGGAATAGTGTGAGGAGGAGGAGGAGGTGGAGGAGGAGGAGGAGTAGGAGGAGCAAGAGCAGGAGCAGGAGCAAGAGCAGGAGCAGGAGCAGGAGGAGGAGCAGGAGGACGGGCGGAGGAAGAGGAGGAGGAGGAGGAGGAATGGGAGGAGGACGAGGCGGAGGAGGAGGAGGAAGAACAACGGTGGGTGGAGAGAGGAAAACAGCTACGACGATGACGATACCCACGACAACGATGTCGCCTCCGACGACGACGATGAAGACGAACACGACGACGACGACGAAGTCAACCATGAAGGCGTTTTTGGGTTTGTCGCTCCTGGGGGGCTATGTTGCAGGTCTCTGGACCCTTTTGGGGTCCTCGTGGTGCCTCTGGGGGCTCTTTTTGGGGGTCTTTGGGGAGGTCTGGGAGGTCTCTCGG